CGTGCTCATGCCGGCGTGGGGCCCCCTCAGCCGCAGTGCCGCCGCCGCCCTGCGCACGGCCACAGCCGCGCTCTCAGACCAGCAGGCCGCCTGCCACCGCTTGATTTCCCCTCGAGTTCAATTAGAAAAATTGCACCTCTCCCCAAAATCGATCCCCAGCAGCACGTCCCGCGTGCTCACCCTTCCCTCTGGCCGGGCCGGGTTATTCCCGTTCCCAAAGCTCGGGCTGGCTGTGGAGTTTTGTAACCTGAACGGAGCTGTATGCCCAGGGAGCTTGGGTCTGGGGGGATCATTGCGCTCTTCCCAGGCAGGTTGGCACAGACTACTGTATATACCTATGTCTCCATATATATATATACATATATATAGGTGAGGGTAAGCTGTATGTGGCCACACTGTTCCCTAACTGATGGCAAAGGCAAGAACTGAGCCTGATGTTTGTTTCATTCCTAATTATACAATGCTGGTGGAAAAAAACTGTAGTTAACTAAAAGTAGAGCTGCTAAAGGTTCTTCCTGAGAAGTGAAAAATAGAGCTTATGAAAAAATCCTCGTAATTCTGAACTCCCTTACCTGTGTAACTAGAAGTGTAAAAAAAGATTTCTCAACATTTGTTCAAACTACTGGAGTGCATCTGGCCTTCTCCCTTGACCATTCTTGCTTTGCTCACCTCCTCTCTGCTCCCTTGGCTTTGTTGAGATGTAGTTCGGGCTGCAGGGAGAGTGAATGCAGCCTGCTGTGTCCACTCAGTGTTGAGGGGACACGGCTGTGCAAAAAGGGCGAGGATTTATGGCAATGTGAAAGTCACTCAGTTTAAGAGTGCAGCTCCTAAAACACTCAAAAAGTGTTTTGAGCCTAAAGGTTTGTCAGAATTAATTAGTGTGGTTTAATGAAAAGGAAATACTCCTGATGTTTTGTTTGTTTTTTCCTTTTGTTGCTGGTAGACTTAACACAGAGACATTAAAATTTCTTACATTAATTATTTGAGAGTGCTGCCTGTTTGTAGACCATTTATCTTGTTTTCAGAGACAAGATGGTTTCAATACAGGAAACCAATACTATTTAGATTAAATAGTTTAGAAGAGTCATTTTGGTTGTGTGCATGGACAGCTGAACACAACACTTACATAGTAAGTTTAAATTTTAGTATTAGTCTAACATTATGATTCATCAAAACAAGGGTGTCACTTGATAGAACTGGAATAATCTGTTTCTACACCAGCTTTTTACGTTAGGGTCTCTTTGGCCACTGCCTTTGTCATTGTGGTCAAACAATTGATGTGTTTTAAAAAATGCTGTAAATCATCTCAGAGCAGACTGGAAAGTATTAGTATTTAGTTTTATGATTATTATTTAGGTTTTTAAAATTAGCACATTGAATTGCACATCAGGAACCTGTCCTAAAGCTATGTAAACTGTTAGGATAAGTTTAAAATAATTGCTCTAGAAATCTGTTGGTTTTGTTCTTGCTAATTTTCGTAGGAGACCTTTGTGTAATATTATTGCCCAAGAAACAATATTTTAAATGTTCAGAATAAATTAGGGGGTTGCATGTGTAGCCTTGTGGAAATTAACTTTTCTGCTTGTAAGCTGAATGTGCCTTACTTGAAAGAAGTGGGAACATGTTATCATAGGTAAGTGTAGAGGGCTAAAGTGGAGAAGTAAGTGATCTGGGCTCATGTGGATAGGGAACATGTGTGTAAAAATACTCTGATGTCGTAGGGTCTACTCTGCACTTCCAGTGACTAAAATACAACTGTACTTGTGTCTTCTTGTTTTCCTGAAAAATCCATAAATTAAGGACATGCCCTCCTAGAGAAAGAATTCCCCTAGACACTCATTGAAATGTTAATTTTAGGAACCAGCAAAGCAAGTGAAATATATTGTAAAAGTAACTGTTTTAATGCATATTTATAATAAATATATTTTTAAAATAAATGTTTATGTGGCTACTCATGTGTTATCCATAAACTATTTTAAAATCTTCAAAATCTGATGCGGCACAGAAAGCAGTGCTCTATATTTTATTAATTGGATTGAAGGAGCATGCAGAGTTGATCAAGGCTAAGGCTGCTTGAGCAAGTGTCAAGCATGCAGAAGCAGAATGCTGTTCACAAAGTCTGCAGACTTGGATCTTTTTATATTAGACAGAACTGTCATATGGAGATCACTGCAGCATTAGGATGCTCAGGTCACACTCTGGAAAAACTCATGCATGTTGAATAACTTCGTTCATATGCACAATTTGATTAAGTCTGTAAACCACTTCTTACCTTATTCTTACTGTGAAGAGTGTGTCACCATTTAGGGGAGCTGGAAAAAACTGTTCCTCTGAGAGTTAAATTTTTTTTATGCAAAGTTAAAAGTTTAGGTAAGATCAGCAGTGAAATGTGCAGTAGTAGAACAGTAAATGGTAGATGAGGTATTCACTAAAACACAGTTGTGATCAGTTCTAATTGATTAATTGTAAGCTATTTAATGATTAGTATTAATAATATTATTAATTGATGAATGAACTGTATGTTAATACTTCAGATGGAAATAATTTATTGGGAAGAGACACTAGAAAATCAGTGTCCATGATATTTCCACCCCTTCTGCACAGAAGTGAGATTAAATTGGAGATGGGTTTGTTTTCCCACTTTGGGGAGATTTTAACCACAGAACTTAGTTGTCTTCCCCATGGCAGATTGTCTCAAATAAGAAGTTAACAGTGCCTTTCTGCACCTATTATTTAAGAAGTTTGCACACTGGGGGATGGTTCTAACAGGTCACTCTCAGAAACCTGTGTGAGGGGAAGAAGGGAGGGCGGCATAGATTGCAGTACTGGTCATGGGAGATCCCTGTTCACATCCTAGTTTTGAACTGTGTGCATCATGCATTTGACCAGTTTTCAAAGCTAAAGTTTAAAAATGGTCCTGGTGGTTCCTGTTTCTCTGTCCTCTGTATTTACTGAGATTTTATCAGTATTTATCAGCTGTGTGCTCTGCTGAAGGTGCATTTGAGGTGAGTGTCCTGAGTAGAAGACAACCAGACTGACACATGGGATGACAGGCAGAGACTAAAATTAGAATGTTTTGTTTTCCTGTTCTTCCTGTTGTTGCAAGAACTCTGAAACCATGTTGCAGTTTTGTCACTGCATGGCTGAAAAAATATGTTCCTCTGTCACCTCTATGCTTTTGAAGTCCCTCCCACAGCCTGTGAAGTCTATAAATCCCAGTCTGCTCCATTCTAATCACTTTAACTTCAAAAGAAGGCAGACCAAGTTCATTTTTTTGAGATTATTTTCAATTCTCTGTTTATCTGAAACTTTACATCCCCTCTGTAAAATTCTTTCAGACATTCTTGTTTTGGCTGATCTGCATAAAACACAAGAGCATATTGGAAAACTTGTCTGTGTGTCTGACAGAGGCTTACAACTTTCCCCTGACAAAGTCCCAGCAATGCAGGGGGCTTCTGGATCAATCCATTCAGAGAAAATTGCATCCACAGGCTGGCAAGGGTCACAGTTGCTTTGGTTCAATCCTATGCCCCTTGCCAAAACACCTCGCAAACTCCAGAGCTACCACAACAATAGCAGCATTTTAAACCCTGGAGTTTAGGAAGTATTTCTCTTGTGCAACTCTCAGATTTATTTTGTCTTATATTTTGATTACATTAGGAAAAATGCACTTCTCTTAGTTCTTAATGATATACAATTAACATGCTAAAGGCTATAATTAAAAAAAGGTTTTCAGTTTAGCCCGTATTAGGCAAAACCATCATTACTTTT